AAGGAGAGAGGGAGGCCTTGACGTTGCCCATTGGTGATTAGGAGCACCTACATCAGACCAAGCAGGTACATATGGGTCACCTATCACAGTTTTGTTCCCCTCCAGGATGAAATGTATTGTAGTTCAAATGATAGTGAATAATCGTAAATTAGCATCTGTGCATAAGAATTAGCCCATGCAAAGTCGATGCAATCCATTTCCTCTTTATTCTTTGGGGGGGGGGGTTGCATAAGTGGCCGCCCAGCTCAAGAGCCAACAGAACTCCTTGCCTTCCCCACTCCCAAGCCAAATCGAATTATGAAAAATATAGGGAATGGCAGAAGATGACAGGGAAAAAATACTAGGCATTGTGCAAATTTGCATAATTTATGCAGTTTGCAGAACTGGGAGTTTGGTCAGCACCGAATCTGTATTTCCTTGGTGCACGAGTTCAGCTTTTAAAAGAATCTGCAGCAGGGTCCATGCAGCCACGATTATACCCCGTCTAATTCTTGAGGGACACTTAAGGGGTGAGCCACCTGGAGCTTCAAGACTCTCAATTCCTGGCATTGGGGCCTCTCTCAAAAAGCAAAGGCAGGCAGAATCCTTATAAACCCCAGGTTCTTTTTTTTTGGGGGGGGGACATGTGTCTGAAAACGACCTGATCCAATTCTGAATCCAAGCAGGAAAACAAATATGATCTTGTTTCCAGAAGCGCAACATACCAGTTGCAGTTAATACCAAGTTTCAGGAGATCACAAGTGAGGAGAGGGCTGTTGTGTCTGTGGCCTCCTTGTGGGTTTTCCTCCCAGGTTGTGCACTGTGAGAACAGGATGCTGAACTAGATTAGGCCATTGGCCTAATCCAGCAAGAGGGGTCTTCTTAGACTCCTGGGGTGGGGGAGAGAGGCAGATTTAGTACATAGAAAACTGCCTTATCCTGAGCCAGACCACTGGTCCATCCAAGCTCAGGATTTGAGTACCGTTTTCTGGGAATCACAAGTGTGGAGAGGGCTTCCCACGAGCACCTGGCTATCCACAGTGAGATCAGGATGCTAGACTAGGTGGGCCTTTGACCTGATTCAAAGGGTGATGAGTCAATGCAAGTTGTGAAATCTGCAGTGGCAATTCCTTTGGCGATGGAATGGTGGGTATTGGATGGCAGAGTCCCTTTTTATCGAGAATCCACATAGAATTGTACAGTTGGAAAGGACCCTGAGAACCATCCAGTCCAACTCCCTGCAGTGCAGGAAAATGCAGCTGTCCCGTTCGGGGATCGAACTTGCAACCTTGGCATTTATCAGCACCACGCTCTAACCTATTGACCTATAAATCACATGTAAAGGCACTTCCAAATGCAGTGATTCCTCCCACCCACCTTGCTGCCCACCCGCCCAAGACTAGCATTAATACCCAGCCTCCTTCCTCAGCGTTTCCTTTCTGGGGCCTAAAACTGATCCCTTTTGACGCTTAGTTGCCCCTGTCCCCCCATTTCAGTTGGACAGCATGCTGATGCTTTTGGATCGATCATGCCCCCAAAGGAGGGTTTGTTCCAAAGATACTAATGATAATCTTTTTTGTGAGGTTTCTTTTGTTGTTGTTGCCTTGGCTGGTTTATCATTTGGGTGGGTGGGGGAGTTCTAGCAGGACTTCAGAAATTTAATATGTTAATCCTTTTTTTTTTTTCTTTTTTTGGAGGGGAAAGAGATTTATTTTAAAAAACGAGAAAGATCTCGCTGTACGTCTGATCGAAAGGGAGAAAAACGGGAAAGAGAAGCGTCGTGCTCAGTATATTTTGAGTACCGCATTCTGTATTTTTGCAAGCTTATATTTTCCAGATGAGTTTAGAAATATGTGATGATGTGAAATAACGTACTGTAAGTTTGCTGTAAATGATATTAAAAGCACTATTTTCATTCATCACTGGTGTCCTCGGGTGAGCTATTCTTTATTTGCATTTTTTATTAATGTTCAACATTAGCATAACAGTTATAATCAAAAGAAATAAACAAGGGAAAAGACAATAGAAATTACAAGTGTGCCAAAAAACAAGGATTACTTTTGAGAGCCAGAACAAAATGGAAAGCAAAACCTTCTGGGCAAAAGAAGAAAGTGATAGGACAGGATTCATGAAGATATATAAAACTAAATATAGATGGTTTTACCAAAAGGAAATATGGTCATTTGGTGGATGTCTTGTACATTCAGGTTGGGTTTGAAATTTTAGAAAAAGCCCTCAAGATGCCTCAGATTAATCCTTTTTTATTGTTCCTTTGCTGGGCTTGGGGGGGGGCATGTGAGGGGGGCGAGTCAATTTCTCTTGCACATAGGAGCCAACTCCTACGGGCTGAGGGGTCTTCAGCCCCCCCCCTAAAATATCTGATGGGCATTGCCATTCAAGTGGGGGGGGGTGTCATGTGATTGATTATGTGGGGCGGGACTTACCACCCCACCCCCAATATTTTATTCAAGTTGGCACCCCTGCTCTTGCAGATCCGATTTCCAAATTTTACACCACTCACAATGCACAGTTTCTATTTTGGTCATTGCTAAAAGAAACAAGACCAAGTTTTTATGAGTGACCTGATTCATATCTTCAGGAAACATAGAAAGCAAAGTGAAGCCATGAAATAAGCTGACAGACAGAAAGTTGGATGAGTAAGTGGCCATATCTGTACACTGGTCACTTGATGTTTACAACATCAAACGACAACTGCACATATCTACCCTCAGGATCATTTAAATGAATTTTTGCTCTCGGTGGATTGTATGGCAAAAGTTGGTTTTGTATCTAACATGAAATTGTATTCTGAAGTACAGCTGAAAATCAGTAACATGGAAGGACATTAGCAATAGAACCAGATTATAGAATAAGGAAAGAGGAATTGATCAAATCAATCAGAGTTGTTGTGTGAGATAGTTGGAGAAAAATTGCCTAAGACAGCCACAGCCACCCATCACCCCTGAGCACTGACTGTGTTGGCTGGGGCTGATGGGAATTGTAGTCCAAAATACCTAGAGAGCATCACATGGGCTATCCTTACCCTAAGGAGATGATCACTAACTGCTGAAAGGGTTGCAATCCTGTTCCCACTTACTTGGAAGTAAGTTCCACTGAATTCAAGGGGACCTTTGAGTAGACATGTATAGGTTTGGGCAGGGAAGCACAGCCAAAATATATAAAAAAACCCAGCTTCTGTGTTTCATCCAAATGTCAGTGATTTGAAAGGCTCCCACACTAGAAATAAACAGATTATGCATCCCATAGCACCTCTTCTAAAGTTGGAATTCCTAGCTTCACTTGTTCATTCACAATAATGGTCACCTAGTGTTTACCACTTCACTTTGTTTTAAAAGGTTGCTTAGGAGATTTCCTGTTAACATGTTCCATGTCACTTTGCTGTTTTATATCATTGCATAAGAGGATCACCGTGCATGTATCTCTGGAGTTGTTTGGTTCTAATGCAGAGAAATCCCTGACAGTGACCAGAAACATTATTCCAGAACTTCCATACAGGAATATTCCCACCAAAGGCAAAAGTATAAATCAACCTGTGCCCACCTTTTCCAACAACACTGGCTACCGTGTAGGTGCACTAGGCAAAAGCCTCAAAGAAGGATGTAGCACCTCCTGAGAATATTATATTGTGCTTATTTTGATTTGTAACATAGAGCAGGGTTGACCCTACCATTAGACAGAGTGAGGCAGATGCCGGGAGTGTAGGCAGCAAAGTTGAGGTCTTGGAGAACAAAGCTGCATGTATAATATACCAGCCAAGCTATCAGATGTGGAGGTTGCTGTCCCTTCGCCAGTGCTGAAATAAGACCCAGTTTCCAGTTCCTTTTGTCACTGGTACCTAGAGCTGAGGGAGTGGTAAAGAAAGTTAAGAGGCCACACAACCACCTTCATCCAAAACGTAAGAGAAACCTCATTCATCAGCCAAGGATTCTGGAAGACATGTTGAAGTTTGGTTCCATGAGTCTCTGTAACATGGTGCTCTGTTTCCCACCACCTTGAATTCACCTAAGAGCAAACAAAACTGGGAAATGGCAGCACAGCACATTCTGTCGCCTTCAAAGGGAGGCAGCAGAACAATCTTATCTAATTATTGTTCTCTCTGCCCTCTGTAGTTGAAGACGGGGAAAGGGAACGCAGTTGCCAGCTTCACTGCAACATTTCTGCTTTGAAGGAAAGGGAACCATCTCCCCAGAGAGTTTTAAACAACTATTTGTTTCCAAAAAGAAAGCCACCCCTCCTTTATTTCCCCTAGAGAAAGAAGAGTTTGATCGTTTACAAAAACCTATATTTAACAAAGCAGCTTATTGTCTACCTTGTTGCAGCCTTCACTGAAAACCAATAGATTCTTACCTATCTATGCTGGATCTCAGGGAACAGACAATATAATGCATTCCCTACAATTACACACAATTCCAGCCTGCTCTACCCTCCCCCCCCCCCGCTGCCAAAAAAAAAAAAAAAACCCACTTGGGTATTGCTTGTATTCCTATTCCTATTCCTAAGATCCACACCCCCAGATTCCTTTAACAGAATACCCTTAAGCTCGGAGGGGCAGATGATGGCCACACCTCCCCTCCCCCATCATAAGGTCAAACAATGCCTAACCGCAACCCTAACAAAGTTGTGATGATTGCTACGAGGTAGGCGAAAACCAAATGACCTGTGCCAATTTGCCAAGTGGAAAAATTCCTACCAGGCCCCTCAACAGCGACCAACCAAGGTCCATAGCAAGGCCAATGACTAAAACCTGCAAAATAGGGAGGGAGGGAGGGAGATTGAAGAAGCAAGCCAAAGAGGAAGCCCTCCGGCTCGCGCCTCTGCTTTGCGGCCGGGATCCCCTGGGCAATGCGGGAATACGTCCCCCACCCCCAGAGGAGAGTGGGTGGCCACGCGGTCCACTGCAACTCCTCCCCACTGGGATGTGGAGCGGATTTCTGAAATATAAATATATGGGAATGTATGACGGCTCACATCAGCATATTTTATCCAACTGTTGCAGCAGAGGAGGGCCATAGCTCAATGGTAAAGCATTCGCCTTGCTTGCAGAAGGTCCTGAGTTCAATCCCCAGCATCTCCAGTTGGAGCTAGGAGAGATTCCTGTCTGAAACCATGGCGGGCCACTGCCAGTCAGTGTAGACAATACTGAGCAAGGTGGCCCAATGGTATAAGGCAGTTTCATATACTTCTATAACCATTAAAGAGCCTTGGCCCTGTATACCTGAAGGAGCGTCTCCACCCCCATCACCAAGGGCCTTCTGGCGGATCCCTCGCTGCTAGAAGTGAGGTTACAGGGAACCAGGCAGAGGGCCTTCTTGGTGGTGGCGCCTGCCCTGTGGAATGCCTCCCATCAGATGTCAAGGCAATAAACAACTATTTTACTTTTAAAAGCCAACTGAAGGTGGCCCTGTTTAGGGAAGTTTTTAACGTCTGATGCTGTATTGTTTTTAATATTCTGTGGGAAGCCACCCAGAGTGGCTGGGGAAACCCAGCCAGATGGGCGGGGTATAAATAATAAATTATTATAATATTATTATTGAGTACACCCCCCTACCCCCAAGATTAAATAGGGTATCACTTTTCTTTCCCAGTTTTGCTGTTTTGCATCAAAGTCAAGCCATGAAAGCTCAGCCTTTATTACAGAGCATATGGCATCACTTCCAGAGTTCGCTGCCCGTAGCCAGCAGTGATCATTCTGGGCCGGAAGCCGTGCTGTGTCATCCCAGGGGCTGCCGTCATGAATCATTCTGCTTAATAAGCAATTGGTTGGAGGCTGTGTGTTGATGGAGGCGCCTTGCTGATGCCCCCTCCAGCCGAGCAGTGACTGACTACCTTGCTGGGGGGCAAATGGAGCTGCTTTGTGGATAGCGACATAGCTGCTACCATCCGTGGTTGAGCATTCAATGAGACCTGAAGACTGCGGAGGAGCCAACTGCCTCCAATCCCCACTGCTAAATGCCCTCTTGCTACGTACAGGCATGAGATCTCTGATGCCCATCCACACTAGCAAAAAGGCTCTTTTGTTGGACGTCACCTGCAGGGATAAATTCTATACACCTGTTAAGTTAGAAATTTTGTCTGAAAATAACAGCCTTTGGTCCAGAAGCCCTTTCTCCAGAGCTGCCTTAGTTAGAAAGGGTTTAGAATAGCAGGAACAAACTGATCAAGGGGGTGGAGCAAGTTCCTGATGAGGAAAGGCTGCATGATTTGGGACTTTTTAGGTTAGAGAAAAGGCAAGTTAAGAGGTGGCATGATAGAAATGTATGAAATTATGCACAGCATGGAGAAAAGGGACAGAGAAAATGTTTTCTCACCCCTCACATTACACTAGAACTCACGTACACCCAGTGAAGCTGGAAGATTTAGGACATACAGAAGAATGCATTCATGCAACACCACACCCTCTGCAAATGAAATAAAAGGGAGTCCTTCTTCATGCGGCGCATCATTAAACTGTGGAACTCACTGCCACAGGATAGCCTCAAAAGAGGATTGAACAAGCAAGCATGGTTGATGATGCTGGGTCTGGTGGGAGTTGCAGTCTGAAGCCGATGGAGGACAGAAACACTGACCTGGCTCTGGTGGAGCAAAATTCCATGTGTTGTTTTATTTTATTATTAATTGTATACCCCATCCTTCCTCCCAAAGGAACCCCGGGGCAGCAGTCAACAAGTGATCAAACAAAGAAGCATCTTTCAAACAATCCAAATGCAGGCTGGGAAAGAGCATTACTTAAAAGGTTTCATTGGAAGGTGAATTCAGCAGGCACCATTCCTACATTGTGCAGAATGGACTACCTGATAAGATAGTATCTGTAGTGAGGTGGGGTGATGTTATGTACTGAGTTGAATAAGATCCAAAATGCAGCAGTCTGATTGGTCCTAGAACAATAGGATTCAGAATGCAGCAGTCTGATTGGTCCTAGAACAATAGGATCCAGAATGCAGCAGTCTGATTGATCTACAGGAGCCACCCAATCCACCTCCAGGTGGAAGTGAATCTGCAACCTGATTGGCCTACAGGAGAATCCTGGAATTAGCCAATCACGTGGGGCCCATTGTGTAAATAATGTATATAAAGCAGACTTTCTGGGGGAAATTCCATTCCTCCTCACCACTATGAGCTGAATAAAGAGCATGAAATCCACTCTCGACTCCCAGTATATTTCAGGTGATTTTTCACATATGGACAAATGGGGGGGGGGTCCTGAAAGGAGGAAAGGAGGCAATGTAGTTCCCTTTGACCGGTTTATCCATCTGCCACACCATCCTAGTTCTTTGAACACAGGAAGCAGCCTTTTATTGAATCAGTTTGTGAGTCCATCTAGCTCAGTCTCCTCTATACTGACCAGCAGCATCTCTCCAGGGTTTTGGACAGGGAACATTCCCATCCCTACCTGGAGACGCTGGGAACAAAACCTGGAATTAAGGGGGTTGAACATGGCAAGGAACCTATGGAATGAATCCCAACAAAACCACCAGGGTATGACCCTAGCCACGTATGCAGGTGGGCCCACACACTACAACAGAAGCACACTCTGACATCTATGCAGAATGCAGCCTTTTCCTTCCGACAAACGTCTTCTCTAATTAAGTCATCCAAGGCATTTAGAGGCCTTGCCAGCTCCAGTTGGCCCGTTTGGGAGTGCTCCATTCCAAGGATTCTACAGCAGCTTTGTTCAGTCACATGCTATCCTGGCTTTGCTTCACACTAGACTAGAGAAACAGACAGAAGAGGAGTGTCCGTGCCGCCTTTCTCCCCATTGTGGGTGCACAAAGGGTTTTGTGCATGACTTCTGATGAGGCCCAGCTGAGGAGAAGATGTGTCCTGAGATGCTCGTGTGTCTCCCTTTCGTTTGAAATAACAACAAACCGCAAACTAGAGGATCATAAAGGAAAGATCTGTTCATTGACGGTCCAGACATTTTGCTGCCTGAGGTGCAGTGCTATTTTTCTAGAAAAAGAAGTGTTGGAACTTACCATGAACACCTCCCTCATTCTCTTATACAGTGGTACCTCAGGTTAAGTACTTAATTCGTTCTGGAGGTCCGTACTTAACCTGAAACTGTTCTTAACCTGAAGCACTACTTTAGCTAATGGGGCCTCCTGCTGCTGCCGCACCGCCGGAGCACAATTTCTGTTCTCATCCTGAAGCAAAGTTCTTAACCTGAAGCACTATTTCTGGGTTTGCAGAGTCTGTAACCTGAAGCGTATGTAACCTGAAATGTATGTTACCTGAGGTTCCACTGTAATGGCAACAGTGCCCAGCTGAGAGGAGCCGGAACTGAGTTCTGGTGAGCTCTGACTGAAAAACAAGACCCCGATGGGGTGACATATAAGATGCCTCTCACCACCATTGCATGTACAAAAGCCACAGACAATTTTCAGTGTCAGGCAGTGCTGTATTTACGTATAAGCTAAACAAGCTATAGCTTAAGGCCCCCACTCTCTTGGGTCCCCCCAAAAAAACTAAACAAAAAAAAACACCTGGATGTACATTTCCAAAATATAAGATAAAAAACAAAACAAATAAAATGGCTTTAGATACTTATTAGGTCCATAAATTACCATATAGCATATATTCAACACAAAAAACCTTAACAATTTGTTGTTGACAAAGGACAGCTCGACATATAAAGGGCCCCATTACCTTCAGTAGCTTAGGGCAGTGATGGCCAAACTTGGCCCTCCAACTGTTTTGGGACTACAATTCCCATCACCCCTGAGCACTGGTCCTGTTAGCTAGGGATGATGGGAGTTGTAGTCCCAAAACAGCTGGAAGGCCAAGTTTGGCCATCACTGGCTTAGGGCCTCATCAAACCTAAATCTGGCCCTGGTGATAGGGTTGTCAAAGTTTGAAGAGCAAAAAAAGAGGACACATTTGCCGACTTCTACTTTTAACTATGGATCACTCTACTCATGAAAAGAGGACATCTGGCAACTCTAAGATTCAATCCCTTTTCCCGGGGAACTCTGAATTGCAGCTCTGGGAGTGGAGTGGGAGAACTCCTCACAACTCCCAGCATCCTTAACAAGCCACAGCTCCCATTATTGTTTCAGGGGAGCCACGAAGGCTTAAAGTTCAATAATAGTGCTTTAAATGTATAGTGCAGATGGGACCTTATCCGCATTTATTTTTTTATCGCCATGCTTTCTAGGCACAGTTATGCCCTTTCCCGGTCCATGCCTGAGTGCCCTTTTAATTTGCCCCACTGCTTTCCCCAGGAAAACCCACTCTTTAACAATGAATTAGAGCAAACAGCAATTCAGGTTTTCTGCAGGTTGCCATTTGCTCCAATTCAGCAGTAAAGAGCAGGTTTTGTGGGGAAAGTGGGAAGGCGAAAAAATAAGGGGGAAGAAGCACTCAAACGCCGATCTGGAAATCCTGAATCTGTGCCTAGAAGTGCCTTGAATGGTAAGTTTGGACAAGCCCTAAGACTGCATTCATATGATGGTTTATTCCAGTTCCCCAGTGTTTCCCTACCTGTTAACAGTTAGTTAGTTCCCCACTCTGTTCGAATTTTCACATGAATAAAAGCCACTTCTGGAAAACTCGTGGAATATAGTACATGTTCAACGCTCATTTCTGTGTTATTTTATTGTGGGGGGTGGGGGAGAAAAAGAAATCTGTTTGCAGTTCCCTTGACCCAGATAATTGAGGGAGTAAAGTGACAGAATTTGGGGCATTATACTGGCATACAGTTCCTTCCTGCCATTTTGACTGAGGAATCAAACACACATGTGCAGAATGGCTAGGGGAGTTGCGCCATTGTCCAATGGCATTCCTTGCTGGGCCACACTGTGCCCACTGGTGGAAATGAAATTTAGTGAGACGCTCCAGTACAGTGGTACCTCGGGATAAGTACTTAATTCGTTCCAGAGGTCTGTTCTTAACCTGAAACTGTTCTTAACCTGAAGCGCCACTTTAACTAGTGGGGCCTCCTGCTGCCACCGTGCTGCCGGAGCATGATTTCTGTTCTCATCCTGAAGCAAAGTTCTTAACCTGAAGCACTATTTCTGGGTTAGCGGAGTCTGTAACATGAACCATTTGTAACCTGAAGCGTATGTAACCTGAGGTACC